CTTCTTCATGTTAGCGGTGTTGAAATCTCCGGCCACAACGAACGCCATCTCTGGCCGTGAAGTCTTGGTCTTGTCGATAATCCCAAACAGCTGATCGAGTGCCGTGTTGTTGTCGGCGAGCGGCGGAATATACACTGCTGTTATCACAACAGATGTGAATTCTCTCGGCAGGTGAAAAGCCCGGCATGTGATCATGAGGTGCTCTAAATGAGCGGAACAGTCCGAAGAAATAATCCTCACATCTGTGCACCAGTTGTTATTAGTCATTACACACACACCGCCTCCTTTACTTTACCCCGAGTTAACTGTTCGGTCCTGGCGAAAAATAGTGAATCCGTCAGGAACAATGGCGGATAGCGGGGTTGAGCCAAGTCTCAGTGAGAATTAACACGTTACAGTTCTTAATGTCCCGTTGAAAAGCAATCCGACTTCTGAGTTCATCTAGTTTATTTTCAATGGATTGAACATTAGCCAGAAGAATACTCGGAAGAGGGGGTCAGTTTTCTCGTTTCCTCAGTCTGACCAGCAGCCTGATACGGGACCCCCGCTTTGTCTTCCTCCTGCGTCTCTCAGGTAGGACGGCAGGAGGCAGCCATGGTGAATCTCCATTGTCTGTCGGTGGGTTATTGTCCACAAAGTTTCTGATGTGAAGAAGTTCCTCTCTGCTATATTGGATAGCAGAGTTGGTGCGGTCGGCTTGCATGTTGTGAACCATGCTAAAAGCAAACGGCAAAAAGTAAACAAAATACGATAAAGGGCGCATTCTATGAAGCAAATAAGATTGGAGTCTATTGTTAGCCCTAACTCGACATTCACAAACCTTTGAGTGACATGAGAGAAACCATGTCCTTCTTGTCCCTGTCTATTTTTCTGTCTGTCACTTTCTCTCAATCCCTCCACTCTCCTGACAGCTCTCTCTCTCCACGTTTTCTTTCGAGTAAGACTCTTTTCATGGTGGCTGAAGGCAGCTTTCTGCTCTGTCGGTTACAATAAGTGGATGTTTATGGTGTGTGTACTGAAGGTGAGTGTGTGGCTGCAGTACACACACCACTGTGAGTACATGTGTGCAACATAGATGCATCAACCCATTACCTTGGGTCACCGCATGCTGAGAGCACACCCTAATTCAATCACACACACAGTGCATGAAATCAAGCTTTAGTAACTTGTGCTAACTTAGGGTACCTTGTTTAGGCTGTCGTGTTGTGTTCAGGCGCCCAAATGTGACCATATTAGTTTCAAGGCTTCAGGCCAGGAGGCGCCGTCACTGTCTGTTGGCTTGTTAGCCTGGTTAGTGAACTTGCACAAATAGGAGCCTATAGGCTACCATGTCTTAGCACATGGTTATGTTTCAGTTTAATTTAAAAGTTTTGGTAACTGACTCTGTAGTTAGTTCATACACATCACTGTTCACTACGTCATGACTATCTTTAGCTCAGTCTATGTTAAGTTAGTCTGTTGCTTTCAACAGTTTTGTTTAGTTCAGAGAAAATCTTGGCCGGATAAGCACCGTTTCCTTTTTTTGTTCCATAGTTCTCTATTTGTAAATATAATAAAACCAATTAATTGAAAACATATACAATAACATAAGAAAATGCACTTATAACATATGTATAAGACTGATGTATATACTTGCCACCAATTTAGACATAAAACATGTTAAGTCACGGACGTTCATTTTAAAGATTTATCAAAACCAAATGTAATCCAGTAGAAAATCTATTTTCCTCGAAATATAATTCATTTCTGTTGTAGTGTTTGTCTGTGTTTGTTTAGCCCCTTTTTTCTATTCAATATGTGTGTCTTTGTAGTCACTTGCTGTCTCTTTGTAGTTGGTTCGTGTCTCCCTGTGGTCTTTTGGAGTCTCTTTGAAGTAGCTTTTAGTCACTTAAATGTTTTTTTTGGTCTCTTTTGGGTAATTTTTAGTCTGTTTGTGGTTGTTTTGAGTCTCGCTTTGGTCTTTTTGAGTCTCTTCGAAAATGCTTTACGTCACTTAAGTTTTTTTATGTCTATTTGTAGTCCTTTTGATTCCCTTTTGAAGTTGAACTAAGGCTTCTGTATACGTGTCTGATCACACAAACATAAACACACACAAATACACATTTCTGTACTAATCCAGTTCATTACGGTTATTAAGCATTTAACAACTTATGTGGTAACTTGCCAAAGTGCTTTGTTTTGAACGTTCATCACTATAATAATCAAAAGGAGAAATATGAACGTTACTTTTTTAGTGAAATTATCAAATAAAGTCAATATTGACAGTGTTTACTGAGTTGTGTGGGGTTTCTTAAACTTTTAAAAACACGTTTGAATGATGGCCTAACAAGTTTATAATAAATACATTTGTATTTATTTTAAAATCTTTTCATACAATCATACGTGTTTGGATTCATGTGGATTAATACGTGTGGACCGGAGGACGAGGGTGACAAGCATAAGTTTCACTTTACTTTTTTATTTAAATTCTAACCTTGGTCATGAAGAATATATTTCTCTGTTGTCCATGTTCATAAAGCATAAAACAACACCATAAGAGCATGGTGCAGAGTCTCTAGATGCGCTTAGAGTAGTACTATAGTAATGTAGAAAACTGTAGTTTCCCCACAGCAGACGCACATTTATGACGTCCGCTGGCGCATCATAAATACGTCGATAGTGTAAGTGCAGTCGGATTCTCAAAGTCTCTTTTCCTAAGTCTTATTGAATTCTCCTATCCACTATTCCTTAACCCTGTGACGTTATACACAGAGGTCAAGGAATAGTGGATAGGAAAAGACGATAGGAGCTGATTTTTGGACAATTCGACTGCAACCCCTGTCTTTATCTCTCTGTCAGCATCTTCAGGGTTCTTACACCTTTTCCAAAGTCAAATTCAAGCACTTTTCAAGCATTTTCAAGGTGCATTTTCAAGCTTTTCAAGCATCTTACAGCTGTTGTAAATTACATATTTATATACACATACTTATACTCAAATGATTATTTCCCTACCTCACATTAAATCAGATGTTCTTTATGCTATAAACAACCAAATGTGTGTTTCATAATAGCATTCCACATGAGGATGAACAATTAAAAATGTTAGAAAAGAAAACTAAGTTTAATATTTCAAAATGAGTGACCCATCTGTACGTAGACTGGGCATCCCATATAACCTGGCTGAGCCAATATAAAACAATCAGCCAAATAACTTTTCAATATATTATTGATTACTATTTTGAGGTACTTTTAGGTTGGCAGTAAACACAAGTCAGAGGTAAATGGTGTACTTTGACTCCACTACATGTATTTAATACCTTTAGTTACTTTACAGATGTGGATGAATGATGTGAAATATAATCAAGTGTTAAATCAGACTTTAGTTCCACCTGGAGTAAATTCACAAGCTACTCTGTAGTATACAAATTCATTCAAACTAGCTGCAACTTTACCAGCTTTGATAACACTTTCATGATCAATCATTATAAAACATATCATATACAATTATTAGGGATGCTCCGATCGCCAATTTTGGGGCCGATCGCCGGAATCAGTATCGGCCGATACCGCTCTCTTTTCCTCTCTCCCCCTCTCTCTCTCTCTCCTGACAGCCCGTCAGTATCTCCTGCAGCTCACTGATCCAGTAATGAGTGACCCGACAGTGAAGAATACATATATTTATAACTAGTTTAGCTTGTTCCAGAGGTAGATAAAATAGCTAAGTGTGTTAGGTCTAACTCTTAATGTGTGTTCTGCTCCGCTCACCGGTCCGTCACAGCGGGTGGAGCTGCAGGGTTTCTGCTTCACACACACGTTGCATACCGCTATTTTATTGTCATTTTCGGACACTTAAAATACTGCCAGACTAGTGAAGCCATTTTGGCGAGCTTGTTTTGCCGCGCACAGAGAAAAGTGTCATGTATTTTACATGCAACGATAGCCTAATCTAAAATGCTCTACTCTGGCGTACCTTTTGTGTGGTGTGTGGCGTCAGCGCAGACTCTCGCATCGTTATTGTTGCACACTTTGCAGGAGGCTACTCTTGGGCTTCGCTTGACCCTCGTCTTAGCCATGGCTTGTATTTGTCTTCTGCTAGCCAACGCTCGTTGAAACGGCAACCTCCTGGCATACTGTCATCTATCACTCTCATCAGAATGCCCAGGTCACACACGTAACAAAAACACTTGCCGGTCACGCGCATTGCGCGGGAAGGCCGGAGCGGAGCTGTTTTATGTAAAAGCGAAGCAATTAAGCGCGCTCCGACTTCTTTATTTTCTTTTAATCTAAAAAGCGAAGTAAAGCATTTACAATTTCAAGCACTTTATCCCAAATTCAAGCACCATTCCCAAAATTCAAGCACTTTTCAAACCTTGAAAATACCTCGTACAATTTCAAGCATTTTCAAGGATTTCCAGCACCCGTACGCACCCTGCATCTATTATTACTCCCTTGTTCTCCATTCGCTTTCCTAATTCTGTATCCCACTGTATCTTTTTGTGTTTCTCCGTGTCGTGGCCTCTGACTCAAACCGGCCCGTTCTCTCTGCATTATCAGATGGATAACAAGATACTGCAGTACTGCTGCAAATGTTTTACAAAGGGAGCTGTGCCCTCATGCATTTTTCAGCTGAATATTACAGTATAACTAAGAGAACCTGTTCTTTATTTTGTCTCCATCTGTGCTGCTCAGTCTTTCTGGAGATCTCCTGTCGATCATCTTGTAAAGTGGGATCTTTATATTTGATATAACTTTTTTTCTGTCTGTTTGGGATGAGCTAACAAAATGGTTAAAAATAATCTTTGGAAGAGCTTTTATTTCTCACACTTTTCATGATGACAGCATGCATTTAAAGTCTTAATTATCTTGGAGGCCATTCACATCCACAAATATTTACCGGGCCATAAAAGTAACATCAGTTCCTGTGCTGACATTAATCTGACGACGCTGATTTTCTCTACATTGGAGTCACTGATTCTGTTTCAAAAATTGTTGGAAGTAAAGAGAAAGAAAAAGTGATCTACCTTTCTTCTGCAGTATAGCACTCCCGCTGCGCCTCCCTATGTGGTTCTCCACATAACAGGTGTAGTTGGCCAGGTCTGCCTCATCCACAGCATCAAAGGTTAAGGAGAGCTGCACCTCCTTCTCTCCTAAGTGCTCCCTCAAAACTCTGGAAGAGAGACAAAGTCAGCAGGGACATAAATTAACACATTTTCCAAACTTTTAAGAAAAAAGGAGAAATAAAAAACTTGATTAGTACTTCAAAAAATGAGAGGAAAGGAGTGAGAGAACAGGGAGAAAAATATGTAAATCTTAGAGACAGGTGGAGGTCCATGTCTCACTCCTTCACTGCACAAAAAACTGCATAAAGAAGATAAGTGTAAAGGAATAGCACGGTTGAAGAGAAACGAGGAGGAGAGCAGTTTAGAGCAGATTAAAAAGGAGGCCAGAGGGAGCAAAGAGGCATGTGCAGAAAATATTGGCGACAGCTGGAAAAAATACTCTCCTTATGGCGAGGTTATACTCCTCTAAAAGCCTGCGAGGAAAAGAGGAGGTGGGGAAAGGGGGTGATCTGATGTTTGTGTTATGAACTCTGACCCTAAATTAAGGTCAGATTTAGCCACAACAAGAGATATCCAGGATCATACTAACTGCGCTGACGTAGCAATTTTGTCGTCATCACACAGATGGTCCAGTAGAATCACAGGTTGCGAAAAAGTCTCCTCATAGTGGTAATTTAATTTAATCTGTTCACCATTTTTTTTTTAAATCTTATTTAATACTTTATCTATTTGATTATTTCAATAATTTTGAGAAGCCGTATTTAATGAAGTCTAAAGTCACATGGAGATTGCTAAATGTTTCTTTCCATTGTTGTGATTCATACTGTATTATGTGGATTTCAAATAATGTCAAAAGTATTGTTAAGATAAGCTAATTTTTGTTTTTTATCAAGTAAGTGAATATCAGTTTAAATTCCACGTACATCTTAGAAATTAAATGCAAGATAAATCACAATTTCACATGACAAGAGGCATAAATAATTTCAGAGATAGTAAACAGAAAAGTGTTTACTATCTCTGAAATTATTTAAGCATTCTTTTAAAAGCCAGTGTCTTGTGAAGTGAACTCAGTGTCAGCGGCTATAAATCGAGTATTCACAACTTGCCATAGGGACAGGACCAGAGAAAATGAGTGTTAGGAGAGTGAACTTAGACAAATCAATTTTTGGGTTAAATGGTAAGACAGACCTGTACACAAATCCACACAGGAAATGATCAGAGTGAAGACTGAACAAAAGTCTGGAAACATCTGGATTATTTTTAAAACAAATAAACAAAAAAAAAGGAATGGAAGGAGCAAATCAGCATTTGATGATCAAAACAGAAGATTGAAGGGGGTAGTGAATATACTTTTTGCTAGCTGAGTCCAGCCACAATTAAGTAACTGTGCTCTTTGGCAGTTTGGTTTGAATTAAAAGTGACTAGCCATACCAGCAGCCAGCAGGGTTTTTGAAATAATGAGCTTATCCCTTGAAGAAACAGTGTCAAAAAAAGCCCATACAGGCCACAGGGTTGTGTTTCCCACTCTTTACATCGTGCTGGTTTGACTCTCCTTTGACTCACAGTGGTACAGACTGGCCAGATTCTACAACACATAGGGGATTGAACCACAAGGGAGTTGGCATGGCCCAACCATGGCAAGCAGAGATGAGGCAACATGTAGTACAGATGTAGCCAACTAGATGTCCCACCACCTACCCAATACCAGCCAGAAACCTATCTAATCCCAATGGCTGGTAATCTACACCATGAGGGCGCTTCCTTTACAAATACAGATAAACAGCTAACTGGGTAAACTTTGGTCTTTGTTTAGCCCTTGGTGGAGCCCCTCAGGACCGTATGCTTAGCCCTCTCATCTACTGTTCACACACAACTGCGTGGCCACACACAGCTCCAACACCATCGTGAAGTTTGTTGATGACACAACCATCATCGGCCTGATCACCGACTGCGACGAGATGGCGTACAAAGAGGAGGTCAGAACCCTGGCATCTTGGTGCCAGGATAACAACATCCATCTCTACGTCAGCAAAACCCAGGAGCTGATTGTGGATTACAGGAAGCAGCAGAGAGATCATCAATGGGACTACGGTGGAGAGAGTCAGCAGCTCCAGGTTCCTCGGTGTCCACATCACTGAGGACCTGACATGGACTCATCACACTAACACCATCACCAAGAAAGCTCGACAGCGGCTCTTCTTCCTCCGCAGGCTGAGGAGGTTCAACATGGACTACAGGATACTCTGCAACTTCTACAGGTGCACCATAGAGAGGATCCTGACAGGCTGCATTACATTGTAAATTGCACTGTTGAGGAACCTGCGGTCTAAGTTATTCATACATTACATAATTAAACCATAGTTTTGTATATGTTATGACAATAAAACCTTTCAATCCTTGAACCTTTGAGGGATAAGTAACACATTACTTTTACAATTTTACTCCTAAATGCATTTATTTATATAGTCTTTTGTTAGAGTTATGTTTACACCATTTGCTATTGATAATGAATTATACTAAATGTTGTATTTTTGGAGAAAAAAAGAACATTACAGCCTATTATTTAATCTTGTTTAAAAAATATATAAATATGTTTGTCCCGGGCCATACAGTACATTTTATTATGCCGTCAGTTTTTCAGTTAAAGCCACGGCATCAACAGTTATTTATTTAGTCTACGGTATATTAATTATTTCCCTCACCTGTTGCCTTTAACACACCAGATTTTATGGAGAGAATGTTATATAATTATTAACCAGAGGCATGTTTTCTTGCTATTTTATGCATCAAAACAACAAACTGTTCTGTGTCTGTGTTAGAAGCAAACACCCTCTAATCAGCTGTATATATCATATTTGATATGAGTTTCAATGTGGCAGCTTCCATCACTGCTCTGGTGGATCGATCAGCCATTGCAGCTAGTTTCCATATAATGTATCAAGGGGGCGTAACAAGTCTGACACGTATTCACTATGTCATCGTGGGGGTTTTCCTTTCGGAAAGTGCCGTCATCTTACCTGCTACAGCCCGACCAAAGAAGGAACGCCCAAAATGATAGGCTACATCTGTAGAACCATGTGGTTCTGTTGGCAACTCACCATGAAAAATAATCATATTGTCCTTAAAGGCTTGTATCCAACTCTTTGCATGCAAATAATTGGTACAAGAGCATGCACTTTAAGCATAAACAGTAACTTTTGGAGTTTAACTGCTATCCTTCTCAATATCAACAAGCCAACGCCTCATCTCCTCCACTAACCCTTCTTTCCTAAGCTCTTGTGTGTTGAGTATTCATCTTATGCTTCGTCTGCTCTAGGGCTCTTCAACATTGCCGTATAATGTCTTGGCAATCCCACTTTAAAGCGTGATTGCTATTACTTTACATAGCGTCGGCAGCTTTGTCAACCTTTATATTCCAAATAAACAGTGATTAAGCTTTTGAATATACTTTTATTAAGTTATAGCAGTTATATTTAGACGATTATTGGCGATTGTCATAGGTCATCCAGCCAGTCACTAACAGAGGATGGATGTGGTACTGTAATATCATCAGATCCCTTCAGTGTAACTGTATATTATCTCAAATAAAAATAACTGTTTACTATGCTGCTAGTGCTCAACTAGAAAAATTAAGACATACGTTGTTGAACTGGAAGTTGGAAAATCTTAGGTTGGCTTTCAACTGATGGCTAGAACCCTCACCCTGCCTTTGGTGAGGAGGCGTGTGCTTCGAGACAAAACATATTTACTCTTTCTTAAATTTTAACACGACCATATTCATGTTTTCAATTCACCTACTTATGTACTTGTTGTGGTAAAACCGCTGCTTCAATCTCTAGGGATCTAAAACGCTCCAATTAAAACTAAAACTTGCAAACTAAGGTGGACAAGTGTAGACAAGAGAAATTAATAATCTACAATGAAACAGATACAAGCTCTGAGTAAAAAATACATTAACACAGTGAGGCTTTCACAACAGTTGGATTGGACAGCTGATGTGAATTTCAAGAAGGTAAAGAAGCTCTCCACACCACTAAACATATGGGCCAGGGCTGCCTTGAAGTGAAAATATGAAGGAAGCACTGGCCCAAATGGAAATATTGTAATTACGGATTCATTGCACATGAACGAACCATGGACTATCATAGCTGAGATGCAGAAATGTTGAGCGGATGGACCGAACTGAAGCTGTGCCACGACTGCAGTAAGACTCATACGTATATATTATGTAGGTGGATTGGGATATTTTGAATAAAAACACTTTAATTATTGGTAGGTTATTATTATATCTTCTAAAGACAGAGGCAGGTTTTCAGTTGGTGAGTACTTCAAGGCTAAGAGTTAAAACAAAGTCTGTAACTTCCTGTCTGTCACACATATTCACTCTCTCTAGGTGGTGTAATATTTATGCAGTTCTCTCAGATTCTGCACCGAAACAAGAATCGGTAATTACCCGTGTTCACATTGTCATGGAGGCCCCGAGACAATATAACATCCTATATGCAAACAGCCAGGGCAGGAACTGTCAAATGGCCGGTGCTGCAGCGGGATGGGAGGTGGGAGAAAACGTGCACAGATTAATGTGCATCACAGCGGGTCTGTCTGCTGTGGTGCAATTGTGGAATCTGGAGTAGTGATGTGATTGGATCAGATGTGGCCGGAGGGACCGGACTGAGAGATGAAGAATTCATCAGGCAAAGGTTAATTTAATACCACAGGGCATGATTAGTTTCAAGTTTAAACACTCAAGTACACTCTATCACACTATTTTTCCTGGGAGTGAACATTTCCAGAGGCCAATGAGTGTCTTAGTGGCTACAGAGACAATCTTTCAAATAGAGAAGCTGGGTTCAAGCCCCAGCAGGTTAGGGTTAGGGTTAGCAGCCCTCCTGCTGAAGTCCCCCCAGCTCCGGGGCTGCTGTGTGGCTGACACTGACCTCTGACATCCCTGTGGATGGAGCAAGGGGAGAGGTAAAAGGATGTTCCTTTAGGGAGGAATATAAATTCACATTAGTATTGGTGGGCTGAGTTGATGACATTAAATATGATGGCTTTTGGGTAGGAGAGAACCATTTGTCTAGATCAGGGGTCGGCAACCCCTGGCACGCGTGCCACCATTGGCACGAGGCATCGTAACCAGTGGCACATTAGGAATAAGTGTGCAAAATATAAATTTTTTATTTTCGGATCCTGAACGAGACCGCCGCCAGAGCGCGTCTCCCCGTTACCTGCAGAAGGAAGCCATGCACGCAGCGCAGCCCCGCTCTCTTTAACTCCAGGCGACTTTCTGCCGCTTTCCTCCGTGGTGCAGTGCTGATCGTTTCACCACAGAGGAAAGCACTTCACAAATTGCAGTACACATAATGAGCTGTACAAATGCCACAGTTTTTGCGTGGCTGTGTCTTTAGTTGAAAGCCCAGTGGCGATCTGCTCATCTCTCATCGAAATAACATGCTACAAAGGGGCGGACTGGCCATGTGTGTTCTGGAGAATCACAGAACGGACGATCGTCCTTATTATTATGCTGTTTCAACCAATTATTTAAATTTGTTTGTTAAATTCGGCATCATGTAAGTTAGGGATGCTCCGATCGATATACCGCTATTTTATTGTCATTTTCGGACATCTTAAAATACTGCCAGACTGGTGAAGCCATTTTGGCGAGCTTGTTTTGCCGCGCACAGAGAAAAGTGTCATGTATTTTACGTCATGCGATCGGCTCTCGCGATCAGCATTTTCAGAGAGCCCCGATCGATCGGCAGAGAGTGAGTATCGGCCGATATCGATCGGTGCTCTCTAAAAATGCCCCCCGCCCTCCTGTTGACAGTTCACGAGCATCGAGCTCTTCACCCCCCCACGTTGATAATTCACGATCGTCGGCACGCTGATAAAATAAATGAATGGCACTTCATATCAAAAAGGTTGCCGACCCCTGGTCTATATTTTACCTTTAAAAATCGTTTTCCAATGACTACTTGCAGGGTAAGTCAGTTCTAATGGTTAAATGACAAGTAAACAGAATTACGATTGTGTCTTTTCCATGCTATAAAGATTATTTTTTTTACTGTGAAGGTTAAGATATTGATCAAAAGTGTCCTGCTTTTTTGTCCAATAACATAGAATGAGAAAAAGCAGTGTGTAGTTATTGAAGATGGCTCATAATATATGCCCAACTCTTTCTAAACGACCTTTGTCAGGGTACAAGTTGTTCTTATTGCCATACCATTTAGTCACAATGTACTTTTGAAAGTAATACAGCTGCAGGTTGTACTGTATATGAGGTGAGGAGGGAAAATGGATGTTAAAGATGAACATTTAATCTGTTAGAGCATTTTATTTATTCGTTCCTTAAAAACATGTTTGAGCCCAGGCGGTGACACGTAGGGATATTATTAATCAACCTTACATTAGTATCTTATAAACCCTTGAAGAAATGGTTTCCTCAAGTGAGTAATGCGTTATTATTTAATCAAATTGCTATGAGAAGTGTAGCTGTGCAATAAAACATTGAAACACCTCAAACAGGGGATGATCAGAGGATTATAAAGGTTATTAAAACAAATTACCAGGTTAGGTATATTTAGAGGATAGATCTTGCCTACTGTACTGTGATTGGCTTGTACTACTTCCCTGGACCCAATCATGATAATAATGATCAGAGCCAATTTTTCACGTCTCGTTTTTTAGTACCAGTGTAGCTAGCTTATTAGCCAACTGCTAATGGAGTAAAACTTTACGTTTCATCACACACTCTTGTTACAGCAGGAATAAAGCAAAACATGTTCAGTTTCGATTTCTGTGACGAGTGTAGCACGAGAGCATGATGGAATTAGCAAGCTAGCTAGCAAGCTACCTGGTAACCGCTTAATGAGTAACATTTTACAAATTAATGATTCATTCACACACATTTGTTACAACGTATGAATTACATTGTTATTTCCAGTTATGAAAAAACGTAGCAAAAATGTTTTGGCTCAATTCCATACGATTGCAGAATTATAGCATGGCAGAATTAGCAAGCCAGGTAGCAAACTACTCGCCAGCTGCTAAATGAGTCACATATAACTGAAACTTTACACAAAGTAACTTAATACTTCTTTCAAACACGCAAATCAGCAAATAAATAACTTTGCTCTAAATTAGTATTTAGCTAACTCTTTAAGGCTATATGTGTGTCTGTTATAGACATAATTAAGGTTCCCAAGATCTCCACTCGTGTGTGTTTGTGTGTGTGTGTCTGTGTAGAGAGAGTGTGAAACCATGAGTGTTCTGAAGGTTACCATGGAGATGTGGCAGGTTGCTCTAATCATATTTTATGCCCCGCAGGCAATCAGTCTTTTCCCAATAGAGTCAACTGTAATTGGTCCCAACAGGGAAGAAAATGAATTAAATTGAACTTTATCATAAGTATTCATAATTTTTAAGGAAAGTTGAGAAGAAATCTGTCAGGGAACCCTCAATGAGTCATAAATCATAAGAGACCACATTATATACTGACAGTGTAAGGAGTGCAGTCTTTTTCTGAAATTAATTAACAATAGATACCTGTAGATTTGAGAGGCTGTAATTGATATTATACTGTCATGCAAGTGTCTTACGATATTAGGTTCAGTTATGTGTACTTAGTACCTACTCAATTTAGGTTCAATTTGAATTTACATCTACTGTTGTTTTGTCTCCTCAAAAAATAACAAAGAAGTGGTTCATGATGTCTGATGCTGTTGTACTTACATGACTTCACTCTCTTTAATGTGTCCCGCTAGTTCTTCAACAAACTTTTCTCCTTGCATCCAGTAGATAATGGGCCTTCTGTTTTCTCCGCTGTAGCCAAAAAAAGCCTTGCAGTCCAGCCTGAGAGGCATACCTGCAAAAAACAACAGCACAGTTCAAATAGAAAATCGCGTACTGAGAGAAAGAGCAGGATTATGCGCACGGTGCTGTGGCTGGGGAATACACAGTGGAAACTGCAATGCATACCGCCATTTTGGGGCAAGACTATAAATGAAGAAAGTGGTATCGTTATAGTAAAATTAAGTTCTGGTGGCTGCTCAGAAGCCTGCTTATCCCCTCAGGAACCAGTGCAAAGAGCTACTGATTAGTAGGTGAGCCCCTTGCCTTGGGGAAATAGTTTAAGGCTCATCAAGCAATTCCAGTTACAGTGACCTGCATTTTTATAATGTAACATTGTCATTTAATCCAAATCTTAAATGTATATAGAAAACTGTAACTAAAGCAGAAATAAAAGTATTGGAGAAAAGGCAGATTCAAAGTATATACAGTATATATATCCGGACCGTCCTTGTGTTACTGATTTTGCAGTTTCAAATGGCACACAAGTCTGATGTCATTAATGAATGTCAGATACATTTTATATAAAAATATAGCTTTTTCATAGGCTATACATATAAGTTGTATTGGTATGGCTCAATGCAACAGGTTCTGTATTTCCATACTTAGAATTCATTACACAGTTTTGTTGAATACACGATTGTGAATGGTACATTTTGACATGAAGCAATCTGCTCTTTTCAGTAGCAGACCACTGGGAACATGCAGTCATATCAATCTGCAAAAACATGTTTTTCTTTCTACTTTTTGAATATTATTTTGTATTACTGGGCGCAACACTTTGGATTCATGGTGACTGAACTGTTGTAAGTAAAGAAAAGATAAAAGAATAAGACCAAAACAAAAAACAGCGCAAGAGAAGTAAGGAGGTTAAGAGACTTGTTTAATAGAGCTGGGAGGATAGACAGTTTAGCAGAAGACAGACTGGAACCAACACTAAAGGGAACAGAGGTAGACGGTAAACAGGAAGTAAACACTAACGGGGACACGATATGGGCTCTGGCAGTGTTTAAAGACTGGTCAATTAAAACAAAAATGTGAGAAGACTTCGACAGTTACAGAAAACAGCTGCTGTCATTTCAAGTTACATTGCTGACGCCACAGTTCCATTCATAGCTATGCAGTAGAACGGCCTATTTTTTCTCAGCGGTAGCGGTAAGATCATTTTTAAATCATCAAAATCATGGTGAAACCAATATGTTGTGTCATATTATTGATCTTAGTAAGTAGCCGTGTGATAATTGAAATGATATGCCTCAAGAGTGAAAGGAAACCCCCTAACAGGGTGATTCAAGACCCTCTACATATTACTGCTGGAAGAAATAATTGACAATTCTGAAAACACACACACAGTATCCACACCCACTTTCACACACCCTTCTGTAAGACCTTGAAAGCACCAGTCTGTGATTACAGCTATCAATGGTGATGATGGAGTATTAATGAGCATTCTAATGAGCTCTACCTCATTAGGCAGTCAATTAGCAGATAATTATGATAGACCTCAGTATTATCGTAATGATAGCTCTATCAGCATAGTTGAGGACCAACACTGAATGCTAACGTTATCCAACTATTTGTGCGTTTGCTGTCAGAAAAGCACTTGACCTGACAGTAAACAATAAACATAATTACAGTTGTCGATACTTTTATAAAGAGTGATTTGGAAATGCAGGTGCGAAATTACTGTTTATAAAAGACAAGAGCAGCAAAGTTTAAAACTTTTTATAATCAAGTAATTGGTTTTATCAATTGGTCATGGTTACATTTAACAGATTTTATTTCGAAATACGAGATAATTGCTTAATGTTTTGTTCTGATGCAAAACTTATTCTGAATGTGATGAAATGAAAATCATGAAAAATGAGAAAACATCGGGAAATACAGAAGGATAATTCCATTTTGTCGGTGATGATGATTTCTAATAAGCCAATATATATTATGATATGTTCATACATTTTAAATGTTTGTGTTGCTTGGTGCTTAAGGTGTGTTTGCTTTCCTTTATGCTGAGTTAGGCAGCATCCTGTATTACAAACACACTGCAGGAAAAAAAGATCTAAATTAGAGCGAATTTGAGTTTACCTTAATTGTGTGTTTGTGTCCCTGTGTGTGTACGTAGGTGTGTGTACGTGTGCTCCGCAGTAATTGATAAGCGCCCTGAGGGTTTGTTTGTGTTCTCAGCATGTTACACTGATTACAATCATCAAATTTGTTTGCACTTGTGAGCTGAGAGTGTGTGTCAGTGTGCCTGAATCAGAACAAGCAGCCATAAAATCTCATATTGTCGAGCTGAGTCATCATTTTGTATGTGTGGCTAAAGCAGCAGGGTGTTTATAAGTACTCGAGAAAAGGTTGGCACTATGGTGTTGTCTTTAGTATCAAAGATTATGTTCAGTTTTGTTGTTGCATCATCATTTGCTAATGGAACTGCTGCTAGGTGCAATACTTTTAGATATGCACTTGTAATTTAAGGTACCTGTTAACAGTCACTTAATTAAAAGCAATTTACCATTTAAAGGTGGGGTAGGTAATTTTGGAGAAACCAGCTCGAGTGCGCTAGAATTTGAAAATACACAACCGGAAAAAATCTGCCACTTCCTTACAGAGCCCCTCCTCCAACACACACGAACGCGCACATGACCAATGAGGGCACGAGATAAGTTTGTGTACAGATGGAAGGCTGACAGGCAGGTAGGCCATCCAGTTATTTTAGCCGGGCCGGCTAAAATGATTGGTCGTGCTTTTTACAGTACTACGGCTTCTACAGATGACATTTTTGTATGGATTTTTTGTCAAAGCACTTAAGATATTCATTGCTATCGGGATGTTAAGAGCATTCCATGGAATATAACAAAAAGTGTATCTCGAGCCGGTTTCACCCACCTTTAAGTCAGTGGTTATTGACTATGACTCAATGTAGATTATTGTTTGAACAAATTTTCATCAGAAGTTTTCACAACTCAAAAAGGATGAAGCAAACTTTTTTGTTCCTCAATAAGCCAACGCATTTATTTTTTGAGTGCATGAAGAACTCGGCCCAATCACAGGTAAGTATGTTAACAAAAGTCAACTCCAATCTGATTCCAGTCTGTGTAACTTTACTTCAGCCTGACAGACTTGTCGGTGCTCTTTAATTTTGCCTCTCTGAATTTCATCACACGTAGATGCACATAAGGAAGCAGCTGAATGTGAGCATCAGAGCAGACTGTGGTTTGCCCTTGCTTCATTTTTTTATGCTGCAATCCAGGCAAAAGGAACTGCTGGTTATCAGGCGTAGACATCTGTTTCCTTCTGCCTGTAGAGCCTTGTGTTTTGAGGTTGTTTCCCATTTTTTGTTCAATAATATCACTGCATTGTTCTGTCTTTGACTTGTTCTCAAGTATACTGAAAAGGAAATACATAGTCCACAGTTAGTGTATGATTTGTGTGAACGTGCTTCCATTTAAAGTAGTCTGCCTCTATTGTGATGTCTCTGCTGCTTAAGCCCAATGCAATTTAAGGAGAAAAATGTTGATTTAGGTTCTCAAAACCAGATCAGAAACAAAATAACAAAGAACATAGTGAAAGATACAACGGTCAATCAGTACGTAAATTGATTAATAAATGTAATTGGGATACTCCAAATATTTATCTGTCTTTAATCATGATTCATTTAAATGTTTAAAAAGCTAGTATTTACGCGCTATTGTAATAAAGAAATGTATGACAAACTGGTAAGAGAAATGGTAAGAGGACATCAATTCGGAATTATTAGCAAATTATTTGTAAAAATCCATTGCGTCAATATACATTAAATGTCCATTAAAAGCAGTTTTTACCACCGACAGGCTTGGAAATATTTTTATCTGGCAACATATAATCTAGCATATGTTCCCCTAATATCAAAATCATATTGTTATCCGTGCAAAATACCTGTCAGTTCCTCAACAATGTGAAGAGCTTTTATTTGTTTTAGTCATAATTGTAGATTTGGCTGTGGCTATAATAAAGAAATTGAATTAATGTCCACTTCGTGTTTCATATTGATCAATGGTGGTGAATCTTTTAGAATCTGTAAAAAGAAAAACCCAACCTGTTTCAAGGTAAAAAAACATGCAATTAAATTGAGTGACAGATAAACAGATTCTCACTGCTTTGAAAAAGAGTTTCCTTTTGATATTATTACAAATATTCAACAAAAGCTGTGAAAAAACACCTCTTTTAATACACATGTAATTCAGCACCAAACATCTGTATAGGCAAGACTCTTTCTTCACACAAATGTATATGGTGTTTGAATAACCTTTCAAATCATATTTTGCCAAATTACTATTAGAAATGATTTTTTTTATATAGTGCAACATTTTCAATTGTACCGTATACATACTGTACCTGAGCAAAACCTTTTAAGTCTAATATTGATTTTTGCAATGGCAACATCTGAAATGTTGTGGGGAAAGTTATTTGCAGTGCTGTTTCGTATACTATATTTCAAGAGCGGTGAGAGGAAGGGACAGAGGAAGGTAAGACATTCATGGAAACACAATCTGCCTGCTTCTCTTCTCCCTCTGTAACAATTATTCTACATCATTAGCGAAGTGAAATGAAAAGCAAGGAGCTTCTTCATATCACATAAATAGATTCCCTGTGTCTTCTTTCTGTCTCCTTTCCTCTTTTTGCTTCTTTACCAGGATGTTTGACTTGGCTATTATTCATTGCTAATTTCCCTCCCTTGCCCCGTCACTATTTTTGTCACTCCTATCTGTCTGTGTGCAACCGTTTACAAATACTCTACTACATAATAAGATAAGACACAAAGTATCCAGTGCTATAAGAAACACTCTTGTTGATTCAGTTAAGTTAAGTTTATGGACTGAACTGATGGTGAGGAGTTCAGAGCCCTCATTGCCTCAGGATATGTGCCGTTAACCAAATTAGTAGTTCTGATCTTTATTCTACGAGCAGTTTCTATACCAAACCTTGATAGAAGCAGTGAGATGAGTCTGTACAAATGTATCTTCCTTGCCTTTTATA